GCGCAACTGCTGCTGCGTCCACGAGTTGAGCCGCGTGATGGCTCGTGCAGGCCGCGGCCCCCGCAAGCGTCAATTTCGAGATCTTCCTCAGTTCCAGGCTTGTGCTGCCGCCTGGGCCTCATGTGCGCAGTTGCCCGCGGCTCGGGGAGGTTGCTGGGCCGCCGCCTCCTCGCTCGACGACGTCCAGGTCGAGATTGACAGATCGGAACGGCAACCTCGTGACGATCTCGAAGCAGCCGCACTCGCCATGAACGATTTCGAATCGATGTCTCGATGTATCTCCAAAATTCGCCCCTGGAGAACGCGGCCCGAATTGGCCTGCCCCCCCGAGCTGCTCAGGGCTCCATCGCATCCATTTTGGACGAACGATCGTCGCCCTAAAGGAGGAGGAAGAGCGGGGTGTAAGGGGGTGGATTGACTTAAGAAGCGACTCTGGGCCCGCAGGCGCCGAAGGCGCACCCCCGCTGCTTGGCGCCCCCGCCCGCTCGCCCGCGAGCAATGCCGAGGTTCTTCCCCGCTCCCAAGCGGGGCAAGGCCCGCGCCGCCATGGCGCCGCCGCGCTCTCGCAGGAAGGCCATGAAGGCGCCGATGAAGGCCATGAAGGCGAAGGCGAAGGGCCGCGCCGTCAAGAAGACCATACGCAAGAAGATCGTTCCACCCAGAAGCGTGCCTGACATTTGGCATTGCCACGCGGCCATTGCGAGGGGACGCATGGACAGGGCTGCTTGGGCGACCTGCATCAAGGACTTCATCAACCGCTCGGAGAAGTTCGTGATCGATAAGTTGCGGAGGGAGATGATCTTGCCCAAGTGGGAGGGCTCGACTTGCCCGCACTGTGGTGAGGGCGTCTTAAGCCCCTCAAGGACCACGGGGAGAAGAAGGGCGGTTGGGGGCACCGTTGCAGCCGAAATTGGTGCACCCGCCACGTCTCGCCACATTCATTTCACCTTATTTTCAACACAGGAACGGGCCAATCGTTCTTGCCCCTGTCAGACCAGTCAGCAATCCTCTTCTGCGCGGTCGCAGGCTGCACGCAAGCGACCACGCGCCTCCTCGTGAAGAAGAACCACAAGGCCGTCGAACATATCTACACCTCTCTGCACACGGCGCGCGCCGCGCACGTGCATGCGAACGAGCGCAAGATCAAGTTCGGCAAGGGCATCGAGTGGGCCGACGTCGAGGCAGACGAAGTCGACTTGGGGAAGATGGAGAGCCCTTCTGCGGGGCCCCGCACTGCGAGCCCCATCGTTTGGGAGCAGTGGGGTGGCATCGTGCAGCGTGGCGCGCCCGAGTCGCTCGTGCTTTTCCGTCTCAAGCCAAAGAAGACCAAGCGGCGGGCGCCTGGCCCTGGGCCCATCCGCAAGGCGGATAGGGCGCCGCTCTCCAAGAAGTGGCTGAAGAACAAGAAGGTGATTTTCCACACAGATGGGGCTCGCTCGCACAAGCTCAAGGAGGACGGGGTTACCCATGACTGGGTCATCCACCAGAAGAAGCGGGCCAAGGTGAAGGGCAAATGGGTGTGGTTGAAACCGTCGCACAGCCAGAAACGCTATCACGACGTCCCCGGCTCGCAGAATTCTGGCAAGAAGAAGAGGATCTGGGTCAAGACGGGGACGCAGATCATCGACGGCATCTGGCGCGAGCTTCGCCGTTTCGTCGGCAAGAGCAAGGCCGTCGGCTCGGCCCACTTGAAGCACAAGATCCGCAGCTTCCAGTGGGCGCACTGGAACCGCGGCAAGGACTTGTGGAAGGAAACGGGCACCATGTTGCGCGAGTCGTGGACTAAGGAGCACGGCTCCTGAGTGCGCTGTGCCTGGCGCGAGCGAACGCTGCGAGTCGCTTCGAGGAGCGTGGGCCCAGGCCCTGGGATCCCTGAGCCTGCACAGGGATCGCGACGTCGGTTGTCAGCAAACCATATGATGTCTCAGGGATCCCAGGAATTCCAGGGATGCCAAGTCACGATCCCTGAGCAGGCTCAGGGATCCCAGAGGTTCCAGGGATGCGAAGTCACGATCCCTGTGCAGGCTCAGAGATCCCAGGGATCCCAGGGATCCTTAACCCTCCAGCAAAACCGACCTGGGGATCCACCAGCGATCCCGCGCTCAGAATCCCTGGGATCCTTGAGCCCGCACAGGGATCGCGACGTCGGTTGTCAGCAAACCATATGATTTCTCAGGGATCCCAGGGATTCCAGGGATGCGAAGTCACGATCCCTGAGCAGGCTCAGGGATCCCAGGGATTCCAGGGATGCGAAGTCACGATCCCTGTGCAGGCTCAGGGATCCCAGGGATCCCAGGATTCCCAACCCCCCAAATCTTTGCGAAGTCGCCAGGCCGATTTTGCTGGAGGGTCAGGAATCCTGGGATCCCTGGGATCCCTGAGCCTGCACAGGGATGGTGACGTCGCATCCCTGGAATCCCTGGGATCCCTGAGCCTGCTCAGGGATCGTGACTTGGCATCCCTGGAATCCCTGGGATCCCTGAGAAATCATATGGTTTGCTGACAACCGACGTCGCGATCCCTTAGCAGGCTCAGGGATCCCAGGGATTCTGAGCGCGGGATCGCTGGTGGATCCCCAGGTCGGTTTTGCTGGAGGGTTAGGAATCCTTGGGATCCCTGGGATCCCTGAGCCTGCACAGGGATCGTGAATTCGCATCCCTGGAATCCCTGGGGTCCCTGAGCCTGCTCAGGGATCGTGACTTCGCATCCCTGGAATCCCTGGGATCCCTGAGCCTGCACAGCGATCGTCACTTAGCATCCCTGTGCATCCCTGGAATGCCTGAGAAATCATATGGTTCGCTTATCGTTCTTGTTAGCGCTGCCGCTGATATCTTATACCTGTTCTCCCAAAGGCGGGGGAAGCGGACGCTTGCATCTTCTGAGGTTGCGTTAGAAAAAGCATTCCGCTTGCAACACGTGACTCGGGAAGAGGAACGGAAAGGAGCAGGGATGCTGAGAAGAGGATGCGTCTCCAGCTTCGTGGAAGAGGGAGAAGGCGTAGAGTGGGTGCGGGGGGGGGGGGGCTGTCCATATATATATATATATATATATATGTGATTATATCAAACTAAAATCAGACTCTTTGGGCGTAGACCCGAAATCCTGCAGCCCTGTGTTGCTCGAGAGAAAGAACAGCCCTCCCTTCCCCTTTCTCCGCGACGGGTGTGGGGGAGCACGTGCACTCTTGGAACCCAGAGTTTCGGGGATGTCCCAGGCGAAATGGGCCAGGCCACCTCACCAGCAGCATCCTAGAGCCCTGAATTGCATTGATATTTCAAGCGAGACGTGCCACACACCCTTGCGCACTTCTTCTTAAAGCTCAGAGTTGTGAGGATGTCTCAGTCGAAACGAGCTGTGCCGCCTTTCGCGCAGCATCTCGGAGCTGAGGGGCGCGAGGGTGTCTCAAGCGATAGGCGCCGGACCACCTCGCGCGCGGCAGCTCGGAGCGCAGAGTTGCGAGCATGTCTCAGGCGAAACGGGCCGGGCCACTTCGCGCGCGATATCTCGGGGCTCAAGCTTCGAGGATGTATCCAGCGGGACGGCTGGGAAAACTTTGCGCGCGGCATCCAGGAGCCAGGGTTGTCGAGGATGTATCAAGCGAAACGGAGTGGACCATTTCTCGCACGGTACCTCGGGGCTTAGAGTTTCGAGGATGTCTAAGGCGAAACGGCCTAGATCACCTCGCGCGCGGCGTCCTGGAACCCAGGTGTTCAAGGATATCTCAGGCAAAACGGCCAATCACGAAAAAATCAGAATCGAGAGTTGCGAGCATGTTTTAGGCGAGACGGCCCAGAAGATCAGATTTTGTGGAGGATGTGTTTGCTCCCTTTCCCCTCGGCCAGGGCTAGCTTCTATCACAAGAGTACCCCGTTCAGCAAGCTGTTTGGGAAGTAACGCACTGCAGCTCAATGTAATGCAGTGACGCAGCGAAATGCAAAGTAACGCAAAGCAATGCAAAGCAAGGCAGAGCAGAACAGTGCAATGCCAAGGAATGCCAAGCAGCGCATCGCGATACAAAGCAACGCAGCGTAATGCAAAGTAGTGCGAAGCAACGCAAGGCAGCGCAAAGCAATGCAAAGCAATGAAAAGCTGGCGGCGACGATGCGACGAGGCAGCGACGGTGGCGACATGGCGGCCAGACCGACGCGCAGGCCCAGACGACGGGCGGCGACGAGGCAGCGACGGGGCGGTGACGGCGGCTACATGGCAGCCAGACCGACGCACAGGCTCAGTTCTCTGAGACAAATTAGCCAGAACCCCCAAGTGCAAGCACTGTTGGGGAATGCTCCCCAATCAGAGCTTGCCTCTGTTGGGTCCTAGCGGATTATATGGCTAGGTTCGCTGTGGCGCCAGTTTCGGCGGCACGCCCGGGTGCCCAGGTGGCCAGGTGGCCGGGTGCCCGGTAGCTCTATAGCCCTATAACCTTATAGCTTTATAGCCCTATAGCTCTATAGCCATATAGCCCTACAGCCCTATAGCCCTACAGCCTTAATAGCCCAATTGCCCTACAGCCTTATAGCCCTATAGCCTTACAGCCCTATAGCCCAATAGCATTATAGTCCTATAACCCTATAACCCTATAGCCCTATAGCCCTAAAGCCCTAATAGCCCTAATAGCCCTATAACCCTATAGCCCGATAGCCCTATAGCCCCATACCCCTATAGCCCTATAGCCCCATAACCTTACAGCCCTAAAGCCCTATAGCCCCATAGCCCTATAGCCCTATAGCCCTATCGGCCCATAGCCCCATAGCCCCATAGCCCTAAACATATTATGGTTGGGCCTTTTCTCCGGTATCATGTGTAAATATACATACAGAGAGAGAGGGAGAAAGAGAGAAACAAAGAAACAAGCCAACAACAAAAAAGAGGGACATTTGACATATATATATATACACATATATATAGAGAGAGACAGAAACAACAACAAAAGTGAATAAAGAGAGAGAGAGAGAGAGACTGGGGATAAGAGCCGGCGAGGAGTTTCTGTCTGTCGCCAGGCGCAGGCGTTCGTAGACTGCATGTGGAGACTGTGTCGCTGCGTCAAGTCGCTTTTCGTCAAGCTGTCGCTGCTCGCCTGCATGCCTACGCTGCTGATGCGAGATTGCAGCTCGAACCACTTCGATCTGGCCCGTGCGAGCCTCAGACGGCCCCGCCGACTCGACGGCGAGAGGTCGCAGCCCGACACGGAGCTGCTGGAGGTAACCCCGGGGGCCGCCTCCTCCACGGCTGCACCGCCCATGGGCGACCCGCCGGCCGAGAGGGTTCCCGGGCTGCTTCTGGAGCGGCTGCGCGGTAGGGCGCGGGATGCGCTGCAGTGCTGGGAAGGTATCGGTCGGTGCCTGTCCGCGCTGGCCACGCAGCAGGCCGGGGCGCTGGACGGCCAGGGGCGGGAAGGCAGGGCCATGCTGGAGCTGCTGGAGTCCATCAAGAGACTCTGCTCCCTCACGGCGGAGCGCGTGCTGCCCACGGCGGACTGCGCCGCGGCGGGCGTGGCGGCGCCGGGGGGCCTGGCGCTCCTGGGGCCGGGCGCCAGCCTGCGGGCCGCGCAGGCCGTGGCTGGCCGGGGCTATCTGCGCCGGGCCACGGCGCGGCTGGCGCAGGCGCCAGTGGGCATCGGCTTCGAGGAGGCCCTGCAGGCTCGGCGGGCGGTGCGGCAGCTGATGGCCAACAGGCCCGCGAGGGGGGGAGGAGGGGCGGGCCTGGTCGGGGGCGCTGACAAAGGAGGGGGGGATCGGCTCGGGGAGGGGAACGTACCGACTTCCAATCCTGGCCAGCCCCCCCGGTCCCCCTGTTCGACTCTCTTCCTCTGGGGGAGGAGGGCGGTGCTCGCGGCGGCTGCTTCATGATCGCTCGGGGGTATGTCGGGACCTCGGGAGAGCTCCCCTCCTCCGCCTCCACCCTATCTCCTCTCGGGGCCTGGCCCGTCGCCTCACCCGGGGCCAGGAGCGGCTGAAAGAGAGCGGAATCAGCGGTGACCAAGCATGCAGCCGTGCTTCCCACAGGAACGACTGCGGTATGATCCCTCATGCTCTTTGGGAGGCGTGCGTTCCGCGCTTCTTCAGGCTCCTCTTTCGGGAGGGTATTCTCCCTCCCTCCTTCCCTCTCCCCCTCCTTCCGGCCTGCTCCTCGCCCTTCCCTTCTTTTCCCGTTCCCGTCCTCGTCGTCCTCCTCCTCCTCGTCCATCCCTGTTCCTCATGAGGAGCTCCTCCCTGTCGCGCGGGCCAGGCGTTTCGCTTGAGATTTCGCTACGGCTTATAATTTCTTGCAGAGAGGGGCCTTGTTTAAAACGTGGCTCTTGCTTTAGCGCCGCGCACTGTCGCTCTAAGTCTTGCAGCAGTGATAACAAGAAGGCCCCTAACCCTACAGACAGTCAGGTAAAGTTGGTACGATTTGCCTGGAGTGAACGCGTGTCTGAACCTCCCAGACGGCGCACGGGCGCGAGCGCGCCCAGGTGTGCTCAGGAGCTCCCACAGGCTGACTAGTTCTTGGAGGGGCTGCTGCCCGCAAGTGGGCCAGGGCCGTTGGCTTTTTGGCTCGAGGGGCGGCGGCGAAGGCGACGACGGCGACGGCGACGTCGGCGACGGCGACGGCGGTTGCGACGGCGGTTGCGGCGGCGACGACGATGACGAAGCTGGCGACGGCGAGGTCTAGTGATCAGAGACAGCGTGTTCTGCCGCTGCTAACAGAAAACCAGGGGGGCCACTTGGGGTTTCCAACCCGTCACCACCCCTCGAAAACCGCGGGGTTCACTGGGATTCCAACCCACCGCTTCCCCCCCCCGTCCATCATGAAAAGGGGGGGTGGTCACTGGCGGTTCAAGCCCCCCCTCCACCGCCGGCAAACGATTCTCCCTCCCCCATTCCGGATGGGGGGCTGACAGCCAGGCTGTGGTGGAGACAGCGTCTGGGATGGTGGTGGAGATGGTGGTGGGGAATGGGGACAGTGGGACAGTGGTGGGGATAGTGGGGACACTGGGAAGAACGGGACCGTGGTAGGGACAGTGGTGGGGACAGTGGAGATAGTGCGACAGTGGTGGGGTCACTGGTGGGGACAGTGGTGGGAAGAGTGGGGACAATGGGACAGTGGTGAGGACAGTGGGGACAGTGGTGGGGATGGTGGTGGTGGGGACAGCGGCGCGGAAACAGTGGGACAGAGGCGGGGACAGTGGTGCAGTGGTGGGGGCGGCGGTGGTGGGGACAGTGGTGAGGACGGTGGTGAGGACGGTGGTGGGACAATGGGACAGTGGTGCAGTGGAGACAGTGGCGGGGATGATTGTGGGGAGTGGAGACAGTGGGACAGTGGTAGGGACACTGGTAGGGACAGTGGGGACAGTGGGGAAAGCGGGACCGTGGTAGGGAGAGTGGTGGGGACAGCGGGGACAGTGCGACAGTGGCGGGGGCACTGGTGGGGACACTGGTGACAGTGGTGGGAAAAGTAGTGGGAACAGTGGGACAGTGGTGGGGGCAGTGGGGACAGTAGGACAGTGGTGTGGACGGTGGTGGTGAAGACAGTGGTGAGGGCGGTGTTGAGGACGCTGGTGGGGACCCGGGAGTCGTTTGTCGGCGGCGAGTGTAGGAGGTGGGGGATCCGAACAGGTAGTGACCCCCCCCCCCGGTTTTCCGAGGAGGGGAGGGGGGGTTCGAACGGGTGGTGACCCCCCCGGCTTTCCAGAGGGGCCGGAGGATGGGGGGAGGGGGAAGGGGGAGGGGTTTGAGCAGGGGGGGGAATTTCGGAGGAGGGGAGACCATTGGGCTCTAGAGCGGCGGTGGATGACGCTCCCTCAGTGATCAGAATGTGCGACGGCCCAAACGTCTCAACCCAAAGGAGCAGGCCAGGAAATGTTTTAAGGGTCCTCTTGAACGCTGTTGCAGGAGAGCCCCAGTAGAATTATACAACGCGTTTTTCCCCGTGCCCTGGGCAAGTCGCCCTCGGATTCCATAGCTGCCATTAATCTTACACATGGATGCGGTGGACAGACAGGGCCCGTGCGAAACACGCGCCACTCGGAGCCGCCCAAACCCATGGAATTCGCGCGCGCTCCGTCAAGGAAGCTCCGGATCTGCAGCGGATCCGCACCCGGATCCGACGCCCGAGGCGACGCTGACACGCCCGAAAGGGGACCCGCGTCGCCATCTGCGGGAGGCCCTGCGTGCGTTTTCTAGCGCCCCGCGCTGCGCCCGTCGCCCGCGACCCGCCGCCAAACCCTTTTTCCCCAGGCTGGTTTGGCACTTCCGTGTGATTTGATTCTTCGGCCTTCGGGCCGAATTTTTTAAATCGCGCCATTGGTTTGATTTGCCGGGGCTGGGCGCGTGGCTGAACCTCCAAACGGCGCGCGGGCTCGAGCGCGCCCAGGCGCGTTCAAGAGCTCCCGCAGGCCAGTTGGGGGAAGGGCTGCTGTCCGCAAGCGGGCTGGGGCCGTTGAATTTTTGGCTCGATGGGGCGGCGGCGAAGGCGACGGCGACGACGACGTCGGAGACGACGGCGGCGACGGCGGTTGCGGCGGCGACGACGACGCCGGCGACGGCGAGGTCTAGGAGCGCGTGACGGCCCAAACGTCGGAACCCAGAGGAGCAACCCAGCAAGATATTGGACGGAGCCGCCTGAGGAAAGTTTTCGCGGGAGACCTTGAGTAAAATGTGAGAGGGCGTCTTGCCCAGTGCCCTGGGCAAGTCCTCGGATTCCGCAGCAGCCCTTAGTTAATTTATTACAAGGGTGCAGTGGTCAGACACGGTCCGTGTGAAACACGTGGTTCCCCCACCATTTGGATCCGTCCCAAGCCCAGCGAAGTCGCGCGCATTCCGTCAGAGAAGCTTCGGATCCGAATCGGACCCGTAGCGGATCCGCACCCGGATCCGACGCCCGAGGCGTCGATGACGCGCCCGACAAGGGCCTGCGTCGCCGTCTGCAGGGGCCCCTGCACGCGTTTTCCGGCGCCCCGCGCTGCGCCTGTCGCCCGCGACCTGCCGCCGAGCTCTTTTTCCCCGGGCTTGTCCGGCACTTCCTGGCGATTTGAACGCTTGGCGCGTGAGCTGCCGGCAGACGGCGACGGACTGGCGGACCATGCGATTATTTGAACAGCTCCCGAAGATGCCTAGGAAGGACATGATCGATGACATCCCGAATGTCATCAGTGTCTACGCGGTCGACTCGAACAACACATCTTGCAATGTCATGTTGTTGCCGTCAGCCAATTGCCGAGCGAAGTTGTGGATCGAGCGCGCGCCAGTCGCAATGCTTCTTCTCGCGCAGAAGCCGAGGGCGCCGCCCGCGCCGAGCTTCGACCCCGCCATTCCCGACGAGAACGTGACTTGGACGCGGCGCCGTTCGGCGGTCACCACCGCGCATTACGACGCGGGCATGGAGGATGAAGTCCACGCGCGTGGGGCCTGGGGATGACCCTCAGAACCGCGCCGAGACGATGGCGAAGGTGCCGGTTAAGTTCTGGAACCGGCACCGCGCGGGCCTAGGCCAGGAGCAGGTGCTCAGCGATGCCGAGGGTTCGGGCGTCGAGGGCCGAGGCAGCAGCCTGCGCGCCGGGGTGTGCGAGAGCGCGCGCCGTGCCATTTCGCAGCGGAGTCGGGCTTGCACCGCTCGGGCGAACACGCAATGTCGTAGCGATTGAAGTCTCGCGCGCGCTGGGGCGCGCGCAGGCGCGAACATCTAAGTTGTTCGCCCTCATTGGGTCGATCTTGTCTGAGCCAGGGCGACGAGGGGGAGGGGGGGGTGAAGGGGGGAGAGAGGGGCGGGGCGAAGAGGGAGGGCGAGGGAGGATGAGGGCGGATGAGGGAGGTAGAGGGACGAGGAAAATGCTGAGGAATTGTTGGTTTGAACAGGCAGCATAGACGTTCACTGGCCAGATCGACAGCTAGATCGATCGCCCACTGCCTTCAGCAGCGCATGCTCGAACTGCCGGCGGGCACTTCGGGCGCCGCGCCCGAAGTGGCCATGGGCACTTCGGGCGCCGCGCCCGAACTGCTGGCGGGCACGTCGGGCACGCGGCCCAACTGCCTGTGGATAGTTCGGGCAGGGGGCGATCGAGACTCTCGACGAAACTATGGCGATGCGTCGCTCGAAGTGCCCGCCAGAAGATAGTGCAATTGATCGAAGTGCCCACGGGCAGCTCGAGCAATCTGAGCCGAACGGTATCAGAAGCAACCGAGACCATGATCCGCAGGCGTCCTGCAGTCCGATTGTCCGCCTCGAGCCACGCGCCCCCCCCACCCCCCCCCCCC